CAGTTACATTTGCGTTAGAGCTCCTTTTGCTGACAGGAATAGGCAGGAAATAGAGGGAAAAGGAAAAAAAAAAAAACTTTTAGCAGCCACGTAGGAACATTGTAACCACTGTCATGTATTTTTAGATTTTTAGTGATCACAATTTGAACAATTTGCTCTGAACAAGTTTGGTGACAGTTTAGAGACTTGAAACCTACTTAGGGGATTTCCAGGTTTCAAATGTATTACTATAATCTGGAGGAAACTGCAGTAAATAAATTGTGTATTTATAAAAAAAAACAAAAAAACAACAAAAAAACAACAACAACCTCGGGAACATGATTAATGAAACGAGTATGAATAAAGCAAAATACAACCCAGATATATCCAGATATGCTTTTATGAGGGAACATCAATTTTGCATGATGTCCCCCCCTAAAAATTGTTATAAAATGTGTTTTGATAAGTAACTGTAGCTGTGATTAACATTATTGAATTACTCATTAGTCACGTTCATCTATGGAAATTACATCTGTTACTATAGCTGCCTTGGGACAGACTGGGCTGGAGGTGGCATCAATTATTTTATTTCCTTTTAACCAAGACAATCCTTATATTCGCACACCCAATCTGATTTGAGGGGATTGTCCAAAAACACAATATTGGGCTGTACTGATAGCAGGTTTAGAGGGCGTGTGACAGTTCCCAGCTGTAACCATTTATATGCAACCAATCACAACTTCCTCTTTGTATTTGTTTCTTTTAACTACGTATCATATTTTAGTGCAGTTAATGTCATCTCAAACACTGCCCCCTACTGTTTTTTTTTTTCTTTTCCATGATTAACAGCTCATACCATTAGCGATATACATTCTTCTCTGGCATGGAGCCCTATCCTCGGCAGCTTCTATAGTATGTGCATGAGCAGTGTGAAGCAGTGCGTTTGTGAAAATGAGACAGACCCTATAGATGGAAAAGTACTGCAGCCTCACAACACAACGCCTCTTTTAAGAACAGGGAGAATGTGGCGATTACTTTAACTAAAATACAGTCATTTAGATGTCCTCAGGGAACAGGATTTCTGCGAGTTTTACATTTTAATTGTGTTGTAAAATTGTTTTTGGAAACACAATTTTTCAAAGTAATTGTAAAAAAAAATAGTAGTAGTAGAAAATGTGGCACTAGTATTGATATGTAAGTTTTAGTTGTATTGTATTCAACTTTTCCTTTATTATTTGATGTAATGAAAGTAACTGTTATCAGCAGGTGATTATTAGAGCATCTGAAGTGGTTTTCTAATATTAGAAGGGGGTTATTTTAAAGAGTCTGAGTAGTATGTAACTGTGGGGGTTGGATGTTCAAATATTGACTCCAGGCCTGTCACAGCTCCTTTTAAAGGGTGATATATAGCTACAGAAAATATCACAATAAACCATCATATTAAAGTGGGACTAAACATCTTAACTCCACCCACAACCACATTTCGAAAAGAGCTGCTAAACGGGCTCTATTCACGCTTACGTCACAAAACTGGAAGACGTATGGAAACATGCAGATGATGACTTCTTTTGGACTCTGTTGGTTGTAGTAACTCTGACAATATCTGAGAAAATGGCCAAGTTTTTTTATCTAAATGTCATTGAATTCTTTCTTTTTTTCCTTTTATAAATTGGCTATTAATTTGTGTAATTAATATCGTGATATCGTATCGTCAGAGTTCTCAAAGTAATATCGTAGACCATCACAGTATATCGAATTACAAGTCTCTTTGCTTAAATTAAGAGTTAAGGTGCAGCAGTAGCTAAAAATAGACAGAGGGAACTACATAGACCATGATCCTTTGCTCCATTTCAGTATAGACTACAAGAAGAAATAACTGTTCTAAGCACTTTTAAGTCATAGGTCTTTGGATTAAGTTTTGTCAAGGCATTTTAAGAGGAAAAAGTAGCATATACACAGTTTTGTTAGCCTCCACAAAATATCTCAATAAATGAAAATAATGTACCAAGAAATTTGGATATTGTTACATCGCTAATCATGAGCCTCCCCACCATATCGTGAGCTTTCCCACAATATCTCAATAAATATCGTACCATGAGGTTCAAACCGTGAGGATATCGTGTCGTGAGACTTGGATATCGTTACACCCCTATTCCGTTATGTTCGGCAGATCAACAGTTACAACCAGTTGCCTGTAAGTGACGTCGAAGATGGGATTAGAGTCACGTCCCCCATGGAAAGCTTTGGCAGGTTATTAAGACCGCTGCTGCTAAAATCCATGGTTTTATCACATGCCCAGTGTCGGTAACTACAATGGAAGTCGTCATTCGCATTTTTCCAAACGTCTTCCGGTAAGCGTGAATAGGAATAGGGCCTACTGGGAGAAGAGGGGTGGGGTCTGGACAGGAACAGTGTGATTGGTCGAACAGGTATCCACACTTCAAACTCCGCTCCCTGCAGCCAGGTGTTTGTTGTAATCAGGGTAGTCATGCATGATGTCACATAGTACTTCAAATTACAGTGGCCACTGAGCTGCAGTTTTACCTAGCATGTCCTAAAATTGCCAAAAAAGGTCCAGAAACAGTAAATTAAAAAGATATACACAGTTTAATAGCAAAAAAATGACTACAGTATACAGGATAATCCCAATTAAACCTTTTTAAATGTGTAATAACATTTTTAAAACATGAGCTGCAATAAATATATAAAGCCAAACGAAACACTTACTATCTATAATTATTAATTTAAGTTATTTAAACTGCTTAAATCTTACTATTCATACTACTCATACTAACAGTGGTAACAAAGACATTTACACAAGATAATTATTGAGCCCCAAAATGTTGTTCCTGCTATAATTAATAAACCATATGTCCATAGTAATTATCATTGCAGGCCTAATAGAGTTGTGTTACACAGGTAGAGCAGCTTTCAGACAGAGGAGGCAGTAAGCTGTGAAGCACAACCGAACTGTATGTTAGCATACAGTAGCAACATGGCCGGTTTTGTTTATATACCATGAAAAATGAGACAAGAAATAATTAGAACTTCATGTGTGAAATGATGTATAAAATGTATACCAAAAATGCTCCCCAATTAGTATTGTAAACAGAAAGAAGCTCCACAAGTTGGCAATTTACATATGACATAATCAGATCTAGAGTTGTCAAAAGTATCGAAAATCAGATATTAATCGATACTTAAACTAATATCAGAACTAGGGCTGGGTGTCACTAAAAAGTTGCTGATATGATACATACCTCGATACATAGGCCTCAATATGATATGTTTTCGATATTGTACATTTTCAATGCAATATGGTTTGATACGATATATTTCAAATCTGTTTGATACAGTTCAGTGAAAAAAAGGCAAAATCATGGCTGTGATACAAAAATTCTACTAAGTTTGTTCAAGTTAATATGAAAAACACCCATTTTACTCGTCAATACAGTAAAAACGTCAACAGAACTGTAGCTCTTGGACAAAATTATTTATCAAAATATACCTAAAAATACTCTTGACAGTATATCGATACAGCAACCCACGATATTTGATGCTATATCATCAAATTAAACAATATGATATATCGATATTTCAATATTTTTGCACACCCTTAATCAGAACTAGAGTCGTTCGAGCAAATATCAATACTAAAAAAGTCAGATTCACAGGACAGAAATTAACCTTTCCTGAATAGCTTTAGAATGATCTTGAGCTTTATCAGAACAAGTAAGAGTAGTTTTGAGTATTGAGCCTATTCCTTAGTATCGAATGTTTGACATTTTAGGATGACAGAACTATTCAGATTAATCTCATGTCACCATATTTCTAAAAGCACTGTATGCAATTAAACTAATTAAACTTTGTCAATTACACATTGTATTTAATCTTTGGGGATCTGTACAGAGGAAAAGTTTTTTTCCATGGCTGGCAGCTGGGTTTATTGGTATCTTTCTGAAGGCCTCTGGATCCCAGCACAATCCAATGTAGATTGTGTAAAAGAGTATTGTAATACAGCACCGTCAATACACAGGCATACATATTTAGTACTCAATTACACCAGAAGGAAAATGCTTGTAATTCATTGATATGTGTGGGATGTTGTTAGTTTCAAAGACAATGGTATATTTATGTTAATGAGGAGCAATAAAAATAGCCATATTGATTAACATGCTACACAATCTGCATATTTTCTTGTTTTTATTTGTGTAGAAAGTTACTCTCTATATACATTTTCTAAAAGCATAGTGACCTCTACTAATTCACATTATTTATGGCTATAATCAGTTTAATTTTACAAACTGAAAGCAACATGCATTACATATTCCAATTAGTAGAGACAACCAGAAAATGACAAATGAGAAAAGTTTACAATTAATAATTTGGTGCTTAGACACAAGAGTTGGAGTGGAGGCAGAGAAAGAGGTGGAAGAGAAGATGGAGAGGCTGAGGTGGCTGGCGGTTTTACTTTGTTGGAGGTATTTCAAAGGAGAGTTTAACCTGAAACAGCACGATGTGATTGGTTATGATTGGATAATAATAATACATTTTATTTATTAGGCGCCTTTCTGGGCACTCAAGGTCGCCTTACAACAACATAAAAGTTAAATACTATTAAAACACACATTTAAAAGCATACAGTTAAAGTGGCACAGTATTTTAATTGATTGATTGTATTTAATTGACCTCCATTAACTATCAGCTATTCTTCCTTGAGATGTATGTAGCATATTTTGGATTAACAGTAATTGACAGGTTATTGTTTATTGTTTTGTCTGGAAAAGACATGTGGCATTAAATGTAGCTGTTTTCATGGAGATAAGCAATAAGAATGCATGAAAGCTGTTTTTTTAGATGAGTTTAAAGCCATACTGTGAAATATTCCAGACAAAGCAATACCATTTCTGCATACCCCCAACCAGAAAGTGACATAGTGTTTATTTATTATGCTACTGTCTCATGAACACATATACTGTTCCTTCATCCCCAATCATTTCTCTCTCTTGACTTTCTTGTAGCGATCGGCCGGACATTGATCCCTCGCTACTTCAGCACGGTGTTTGAGGGCGGAGTCAGCGACCTCCACTACATCCTCAAGCACTCCAAAGAGTCCTTTCACAACTCCTGCATCACTCTGGACTGCGACCAGTGCACCATGGTCACCCAGCACGGCAAGCCCATGTTTACAAAGGTATGTCTGTATTTGGTTAATTACATGCCTATTACTATTGTACACGTATCATTTTGAAGCCCGACTTTGTGCACTAACAAATGGACAATGGTTTATGTTTTATAAGCAGCTAACAGTACCCCAAGGCTTGCCCTCTTTCTTATGATCATCTCAATTTCTTGCGGCTGCTAAAATGAATAGCTCTCTGGCATTTTTGTTTTGTAAAGGTAGCTCACCAGACCCACTGACCCTCTGGACCCACTGACCCTCTAGACCAATGCACCATGGTCACCCAGCACGGCAAGCCCATGTTTACAAATGTGTACCCCCACACATACACATACATATCCCTTAACATGCTCATACACAGACACACACACACTCACACACCCATATACACACATACTGGTCCCCTAAACCAGTGCACCATGGTTACGCAGTACATCTAAAACATTAAAGTTACGTTTACAAAGTTATATTCCCACACATACATGCTTATACACAGTCGCCTACACGCACTCACAAACTCACCAACAGATACACACCTGAATCCCTTGGACCAGTGCACCATGGTTACTAGGAATGCAACAATATTCTACATAATATTGAATCGTTCAATACTGGTCTCATGATTCGATACACGTGTTCGGTCGATATGCATGTCTCCCTTCATGCATTGTTGTAGTTTGTTTTGGTCCAAAACAGAAACATTTATCGCAGCGTTCTCCTCAGATGGAGCAAAAAAACCCCAAACAGCTCCATGGGACTTACAGCTGAAATATTCCAACAGTGGTGGGTTTTATCTTTCAGTTACTTTTTCATTTACATTAATAGACCCAGGAATGACAAAGATATTAACTTACTTTAGAATTGGTTTTGGCTTTACATTGGCTTTATCAAATACACTCTTAAATGCACATGCAACGTGACTCGCGATATATGTGATCTTTTTCTCAGACTCTATGTAATAAATTTTAGTCAGAAAATGGTCTGTTGAGACATTTTTATGTATATAACATAGTTTTAGTGTCCAGAAAGAGGATGAGAGAGCACAGTGTGTCTGTAAGAGCACAGACTCTAGCAGGGCAGTGTGGGAGGAGCTACGTACTGCCACTGTTGGAGGGAGCAAAGCAGCGTGGACACAGGCATGTGCACCCAGTGAGAGGAGAGACAGACTCAGGAGGAAAAGAAATCATCAAATCATCATCAAAGATGATAGTGATAGTGTAACTCCCCTACCACTCTATATTAAGAGTAGACTGGCTATATTATAAAATATAAAATAGCCTGAGAAAGCTCTTTTCTTATTTTTAATTAATAAAAATTCTGAGCTGTGAATCATTGAACCAAATGAACTAAAACATTTCACATATAAACTACCACAGAAGTTGTACTGTAGTGTATTATATGTAATGTATGCAGTGTTTCATTAACATTATAGTGTTATTATGTTATACTTATTAGCAAAAAAATTGAATGAGATATTTTTTTTGCTTCTCAAACATATTGAAATTGGAACGATATCATGACCCATGTATTGAGATACGTATCGAATCGTGGGAAAACCATATCGTTGAATCCCTAATGACTACGCAGCACGGCGAGCCCATATTTACAAAGGTACCCCCCACATACACATACGATACGTGCCCTACACATACAAACATACCCCCTACACTCACATACTGACCCCTCCACACTGACCCCTGCATAAATAAATGATCAGAGGTTGTGATAATGCAGCTTTGAGACCAGTTAAAGATCAAGACTGGGTGATTTCACCAGTTGCTTTGCTTCATATGAGGGAAAAATAAGTTCCTTCATAATAAGTTTTCCTTCGTTAAAAACTTAGCAGACGAGAAAGGGAGAATCATGTGGTAGAATTTACTGTGAAACTCGCTTTCCCTGATTTTTGTCATTAAATTTTTTTTACTGTTACTTTATTACTATTACTATTATTATTAAATCAAGGACAAGCCATTGTTGTCAGTTTAAAGGACTTAAAAGTTAAACATTTCTGGTTCTTTCAAAAAAGAAAAGAAAAAATATATATATTATATAAGCCCCTGCCCTCCATCTGAAAATGTCTACGCTAGCTGGTATCGCGAATAACGTGGCAACATAATAAATGATTGTGCCCGTATTTGAGCTTTGGGGTTGCAGTGGCGTAGGCTGGTGTACGCTGTTATTGTGTCCTTGGGCAAGGCATGTCATCCTAATTGCAAAGCTCAGTCACAGTAATACAGCTGCTTGCAAGAAAGACATAGGGCATAAAAAAAGATGTGTCTGCTCTAGATGAAAATGCCCTATACGTTTTATTTTTTAGTTTTAAATCTTCATTAGCATGTGTTTTTTCTCCTCTTCTGTGTTTACATACTGCAGTATATAATATTATTTTGTATATATTTAAATTTTATAATCTGGTGTGAATATTCAAAATCTGTGATAGGGAGATTTTGTTTATCTCTTAAAAAGTTTTTAATGAAATGCAACCAACATCAGTAGCAGCTGATTTTATGTGTTATTTTTATTCAAATGACATAGTAGGAATCTTGGATGTGCATGGGGACCTCTAGTGGTGCATAGTTGACAAGACACCGTTGAAAGTGAAGTACCAGTTGTTTTCTACGCATTAAACAGAGACAAAATAATAGGTTATGCAAATTCTTATAACTGCTTAACAGAAATTGGGTTATTAATTTGTTAAGATTTACACCACAATAAATTGTGAGTAGATTTTATATGTTTGAATTTGAATTGTTCATCTTTATAGAATACTAGACAAATTTATATTAGCAAAGAAATTTAGAGTTATTTTATTGTTAGCAAAGGTAAAGGTGCTCTACATAACATTTCTGGTGCAGGGTATGCCACTTGTTTCCAGGGATATATTGCTTTGCCTAGAATGTTCCACAGTTGAGCATTAAAGGGCCCATATCACGCTGTTTTCTGATCTATGTTATAATGTTGTTTCCTCATCACAAACAGACCTGGAGTTGTGTTTTATTTCATTTGCACATGTTTAACACACATTTTTAGACTGAGTTCTTCTCTCAGACAGAAAATATTGTCCCACCTTGTGATGTCATGCGTTAATACAAGAAGTGCTCCACTGTGTTTTTAAACTCCATACACTTTCACTAGAATCATGTTGATAATTTCAGCCAGAGACTTATAATAAAGGGTTACTCAAACATGTGTGAATGAAACAAAACACAATTCCAGATATGTTTTTTTGGAACACTCCAGAAATAACATCCCCATGCAGACAAATAGCAAAGTTGCGCATCTCACCTTTGAATCTGCAAACTACTTAAATCAAGATGGATTTTCTGATTTCAACCTTTACTACGCCTTTATTAGCACATGAAAAAGTTATGCAAACAATTCCAACAGGTGTCCTCCGTTAAGTTACCCACAATCCCTTACGCCTGTCAGAGCAAATCTTGTCTAATGCGTTACACAGCGGGTAGAGCTACTGCTGCTGCTAATAGCCCACTGCTGAGGAAAAGGCCAGCCACAGCGAGCTAAATACAACATTATTTTTTTTTATGTCCAACTCAGAACGAAATTATGTCTCAATTATGCTTTTCTATAGATGCATTATACTGGATTTGAAACTTAAAATTGACACGACAAGTATGTATGGTTCCTTTTATAAAGAGGGGGCATTTTACTTATTTACGTATCCACTATAGGGATGTAACAATAACCGAAATATGGTGATATCGTATCCTCAAAGTTCTCATAATAATATCGTGGACCATCACAATATATCGAATTACAAGTTTCTTTGCTTAAATGAAGAGTTATTGTGCAGTGATAACTAAAAAAAAAAAAAAAAAAAAACATAGGGAACTACATAGACCATGATCCTTTGCTCCATTTCAGTGCAAACTACAAGAAGAAATAATAGTTCTAAGCACTTTTAACTCGTAGTTCTTTGGATTAAGTCTTGTCAAGGCATTTTAAGAGGAAAAAGTCGCATATTCACAGTTTTAGCTGTTTAGCCTCTACAACATATCTCAATAAATATCATGAAAATGTTGTACAGAGATTTGGATATTGTTACATCACTGATCGTGAGCCTCCCCACCATATCTTGAGCTTTCCCACGATATTGAAATAAATACAGTGACAATATCACCACCACATTACCTTTTATTGTTTTGAAATTGCAATATTTGCCAGAAAACAACATATTAACATGTCTTATACATTTAACTTTAGTTTCTGATGCTCTCGTTGACCTCTCTTTGCTCTTCACACTTAGTCACTTCCCCTTCAGAGCTCTATCACAGTACTATAATAGATCCTATTAAAGAAACTACCATACATCACATCAGGTTTGTCAAGTTGTTGCACAGTTTTGTATTGTGCTTTTATATATTCATGGAGATTTGTCATGTGGGAGCGTGGTTGACGTAGGTTTGTGGACGGAGCATAGGACAAAATTTTCCAGCTAATTGTAAGGAGGGTTCAAATTGTGCCTTGGAGAGATCGCTAAATTGTTTTAAATTTATTTTATTTGTTTATTTATCAGGGACAGTGCACATAAACACATTGAACTACACACAGAAGTCATATGTTTGTGCTAGGTTACAGCAAAATTGCTATTTTCCACCTTCAGTCTGTGGACAGGTTGATGTCATAAACGGCGCACATGCCAATAAAATAAAACACAATGTATATTGATGCAATCATTCATCCACTCAATCAATAAGTAAAACTAGTCCCATTCTGTCTCAGTCACCACATCCATACACTATTTACATATTTACAGTTCATATTGCAGCATTGATACAGAGCAGATTAATGTGTACAGGTTTGTTAATTACTGAAACATGCATGCTTAACATTCTAAATCTGGTAGAAAGCTAAAAAAAAAATAAATTTTACATAATACCTCCTCTAAATATTTCTGTATGTTTGTATTTTAAAGTATTTGTATGCATTGTATTATGATTTAGTTTTAAATACACTTGTTAATTTAGCTTTTCTGTCTTTTGATTGATTTAAAT